TCATGCGACAGTGACTTCGGACATATGATAGATAAGTGATAACAGATGTGTCAAACATGTTGAACACATCCTGCTCCAGGTGTCGAATTCCTGTGCAAAAAGGAACTGTAAACATCTGTAAATCATTCATACTGTTTGTAAGGGTGTATTGCAATTCCTTTGGGCTGATCTATAGACTCAGTAACAAGTGCTGTGACAAATCTGCCATCAATTTTACAAACGGAGATCCGAGCAGTCTCAGTGAAGTACAGATTTTCTGATAGCCAATCAAGTGCCATGCCTGCAAATAAATAAATAAATAAATAAATAAATAAATAAATAAATAAATAAATAAATAAATAAATAAAAAAATAAAAACAATAATAAATAAATAAATGAGTGAATAAATAAATTAATAAATAAATATATGAATAAACAAATAATAAATAAATAAATAAATATATGAATGAATAAATAAATAAATAAATATATAAATAAATAAATAAATAAATTACACAATTAACGAACCTCCTATATTATTCACGCCAGCAACAAGTGTTTCTGCTGCAGCGCCCTCTCTCATCTCGGTCCTAATAATGGATTGTGTGTTTCTGTCATGCGCATACAGCATATCTTGAGCGTTCAGATAGTCGGCCACAGAGGCGTCGATGCTATTCACAACACATGTCATACCAACGGAGACCCCCAAATGCCCGAAATTGACTGGAACCTCGCATAGTTGACTTGCCATAGCAAAAACCACATGATGTGCTGGTAGCAGGTGAGTATCTGAGGGTTTTTATTATTTGTAAATATAAACAAAAGCAAAAATGTAATTGACACATGTCATTTGACAATCTAATCTCACGGCAACATGAACAATGTGAGCAGTTAATACTTTCCTTTAAAAGTATTTCCGTTACCCGTTTGTAATATGCCAAGCATGTGTGTTTTATTTATTTCTCGAGTGACACATATTTAAACCATAATAAACATATACTATGAAATAATATAAAATAATACTTTTTGTGTAACGTTTTACTAGGATGTAATGTAAAATGGGGCATAATGTATTCAAAGCTGTGTTTATAGCATTTCAGTTACCAAAGTTAATCTTCAGAGTATGGTAAAAATCATTTAAATCAGTCTCTGATTATTTCTTAAGAGTAGGCATGGTATCGTTCTATTTCAAATCACGCCCTCTAGCGACAAAAACCGCTGATGTGGTGTAAATTGGTGAAACGTTAGTAATGTAATGTTCGCCCATCTTACAACATTTTAGTTTTATGGAATAACCGAAATGACGATATCAATGTGAACCACTTTCATATCTTTTTACGTCTTTACTAACGTCTTTACTAACTCACAGCTGCGTGTTGATGCCATAGAACGGTATACTGCATTTTACATAAGTAACATTATGCTAAAGCATTCGTGAGCCTATGTGACGTCAGTGGGTGAACAATGTGGCGTAAACATACTGTCAATACAGATGCGCAGTTGCTCAGTTGCTCAGAGAAGATGTACCTACCTATATTACATGTAGTACCATCAGCACCCAGGACAAAGCCATGCGTACATAGACAAGTATGGCCAGTTGGATCACTAACGCACAATTGGTCACACAAGCCATTGTCAACAGAACACGAACCTTATGGAAAAATGTTCAGTTAAAAAGTTGGATGAGATGTTCGCTACAGATAAGTACCAGATATAATGGCAACCATATAAAAACACCACACTCAAACTCTACGTTATATAATTCATTGGTTCTACTGTTGAAGATAGATAGCAAAACGATATGCACTTACTTGTTCCGGCAGTTTGTCTTTGTGAAGAATAAAACGTGATTCCCACGGGTACAGTTGGAAAGACAGTCAATATTGACTTTGAATTTATGGGATTTGTTTTATCTATTACTTTCAACATTCCACTGTTAAGGTCGCTTACAAAAAAGTAGTTCTGCAATGAATGAACTTGACAGTATTATTATCTTATTTTCACAGCCTGCTTAAAGTAAATACTTATAATTATAATGCATTACTGTCGTACGGCGTATTTACTGACCTGATCCATGGTAATGTCGAATGGGAAAACAAAACTGGTGTCCGTCAATACTATACTGATTATAAAGTTCAAATCGTTCAAATTCAAGGACATAATATTCTTCAAGTGCTGGTCAATCCAATACAGCCTACAGATAGGACAAAATCTCTCATATTTTAGTTGGACAACTTTACAGTAAGTTTTCCCATGATGCAGTCAATATCAAATTACCAATATTTCACATAGAGTATTGTATAGTGTGTCAGGTGACAATCGGTACAAAAGTGCAATGTTCTAAAAGTTGTTTACTCAAGTGAATCAGACTTGTAAATACACAATATAAACAAGCCATTACCTATCGGCGGTATAATCAATTGTTAACCCATTTGGAGCCTGGATGAGGTTAGCACCGTTGATATCTTTACTCACAAGAGTTTGTCTTCCTTGACCATTCAATTTGGCCATTTCAATCCGAGGATTTGATCCAACGTCAGACCAGTAGAGAACACTTTAACATAACATATACTGTACAAGTTAATTCAGCTCTATTACATTTTAAATTCAAGTTCAAAAATGATGTATTCTCTGCCAGCTGTACATGTTGATTAAGATAACTACATTGATTCAAGGTCATTTTGTTTTTTGGCGGTTTGCCCCAAATAGTTTGGACCTCAATATGAAATTACATTTTTTTATCGATATGTTGACTTTATCTACAAAAAAAGGCTATGTATAATATATCATAAATAATCCATTATTAAATGCCAAGCGACAGTTCTGGATATTGAATGTGATGACTGTTGTCTACTTGATCTTGACTTTAATTCATGATAAGAGTGAGTGCTGACAGGTAGTGCATTTATGCCATATTCCAGTTTGGAACTGTACGACAAGGCTATATGACCATCTCACTATCATAACTGAAATAAGGCAATACAATGCACTAACATGGCGTCAACCGGGCCCGATCGAACACAGGCAGTTAAGGACCTTAACTAAGCCCCCCCCCAAGTCGCATTCATTAGTAAATGAATCTCAGAATTGGAATTGGCCTTCCCAATGAGTCTGTGGCACACTCACCTAAGATAATGAGCGACCTTATTCATTACGTTACATTACCCACCATAGACTTAGTCAGTCAAAATTACTATTTTGAACTGTAGTCATTAATCTGCAATTTAGCTAACAACGGAGAGAGAAATTTAGGTCAGAGGAAGCCTCATTACCTCATAGATTTTCTTCTATGTCACATAATTCCGCAGTTCCTTCCCAACCCAGGTACCATGAACTTTTGTTTGGTGGGAGGGTAAAAGGGGGATGACCGCGTTTTGTGGATTTCTTGGCATCTCAGTCAGAAACAGTCGAACATGCCCAGAGAGCAGAGTTGCATCCCATTGACCGGTGTATTCCGGCTTGGAATAAGCATGTGTTTGTAGTTCCAAAAGCTACAGGTGGATGGCATCCAATTCTGGATCTAAGCAAAGTAAATCAGTATGTGCCCCTCGATCGGGTCCGCATGGAGACACCAAACACGGTTTTGGTCTTCGTGCACCATTTTGATTATTTTACCTCTCTAGACTTCAGGGATGCTTACCTGCACATACTGATGTACCCAGCAAGTCATCAACTCCTTCGATTCGCCCATTTGGGCCAAGTATTCAAATTCAGGGTACTCCCCTTCACGCTATGCTCGGCTCCATACATGTTCACCAGGTTGTGGTGCTGCTGCGTCAGTCGTTGGTACACCTCAACCCATAACTAGATGACTGGTTGCTACACAACCAAAACAAGGGGTTGTTGGGCGATCAGGTAAGGCTGACAAAGGATTTACTACCCCAATTAGGCTTTCTAGTAAATCTAAAAAAGTCCCATCCAAACCTGACATGCCAGTTTGTGTTTCTGGGCCTGGAGTCACATAGTCAGGCTTGGTGCATCCGTCGCAGGCTTGTTGCCTAGCAATAAGCAGTCTAGCTGAACGTCTAGTCAGCATTCCCTTTGTGTTTCTCCAAGAACTAATGCCCATCATTGGGATGATGACGTCAGTTCACAGGGTAGTTGCCCAAGCTGCACTGCACAGCCGCCTGGTGCAACACACTTTGTTGCAATTGGCTCAAACTGAAAGCTGTGCACTTGGCACTGATACACTTTCTACTCACTGTTCAGAGTCTTGCTCTGTATGTACAACACAGCAGTGGTCTCCTACATCAACAAGGAGGGGGGGTCCAAATTCCCATCATTGTCAGCTCTGGTGGAGCAAATTCTCCATAAGTGTCTGGAATGCAATGCAACTTCCTGGGGTGCAGAACAGTCAAAAGAACGCCCTCTCGCGGCGACTCCGTTTCCAAAACACAGAGTGGCAGGTATCCCAATGGGTAGCCTCCAGACTGTTTCGACTGTGGGACGGTGATAGACCTATTTGCCACACCCCAGAATGCCAAGCTTCCAATGTACGTGATGTACTTTAGGAGCATTGGCCATGGACGCATTATTGATACGGTGGACCCACATTGATGCATACGTCTTTCCTCCTTTCCAGCTGATTCACCACGTACTAGAGAACCTTCAACAGGTGCACACCTGCATTTTGACGCTGGTGGCGCCCAACTGAACAACCAATGCTTGGTTTCCACTACTGTTGGAAATGTTAGTTGAGACCTCAGGAGTTCTTTCGAACATCCCGGATCTGCTGTTCCAATTGAATGGCATACTATTAATGAGCCCAGCAGTGTACCACTTACACACATGGAGGCTCTCAGTAGACACAGATGGAAGGTTTATCTGAGCTGCCAATGTCCTGGCCCGGGCGAATAGGGGTTCCACCAATGCAGCCAATGACTGCAAGTGTTGGGTGTACATTGATTGGTGTAGTGGAAAGAAGGTTGATCCATGCCACCCACTGCTGGCCAGGTAGCTGTTTTTTTCGTCCATTTGTTTGACGAGTTAGGTTTGTCCTTTGCAGCAATCGTTGGCTATAGGTCAGCCTTGTCACCCGCCATTGAGAACTATTTGGGGTCAAGATTAGCCGATTGTCCTATTATTAGGAGACTGTTTACTGCTTTTCATAATCAGAGGCCTTGATCCCAATCTAAGGAACCACGCAATTTGGACTTGTTGTCAGCTCTAAGTGGAACACCCTTTAAACCACAGGAATTAGCACCACTGAAATATTTGACATGGAAAACAGTCTTCCTACTAGCTCTCGCCTGCGGACCTTCTTGTTTATGGACAATCAAGCTGTGCTAAAAACACAAGTTGGGTTTCTCGCCAAGAACCAAATCCCAGAGCACAATCCAAAGCCATTTTTTGTCCCCCGTTTGACCAATATTGTCGGCCAGGAGGATCAAGAAGAGTTGATTCTATGCCCCGTTTGAGATTTGAGTTGCTATGAGAGACATACTAGGGAGATGAGGCAATGCAGCACATGTGTATGTGTTATGGCAAGAGTAAGCAAAACTGACCCCGTCACCCTGTCAGCTGTATGATTTTACTATAGGGACGAAACTGGCAAGGTAAGACACCGATTGGCTCGTATACAGGGAACTTAAGGCAAGGTGGTGCTGACGTGACATGGAAGAAAATCTATGACGTCATGGGGCTTCCTTTAACCTAGATTTCTCTCTCCATCATTGGCTGCAGTGTTCTCCACAAGGGGTTTTAGGCGGGCGGCCCGCCCATCAAGTTTTACGGCCGCCCAGTAACTCTCAACACCCGCCCACCAACGTACATCCAGTTGAAATTATTTGTAAAAAGCTTGCATTGTTCCTCCCAAGCCTAAACAAAAGAGTAGTTGCCCAACCCTTTATTTTGCTATTGTTTCAACAGTCCAATCATAAACAATGTCCATTGGAAGTCTGCAAGCAGTTATCAAGTGTATTCATGGCAATGTGTTAATCGCTTGAATCTAGGAGAAGAACTATGTGAATAGGCGGGTTGAAAACCCTCTGCTTAATTTTGGGTGTTCAACCCATGGTATGATATTTTATTGACTAACAGATATGCTTTTTCACAAATACACACTCGAGATAACGTGTCGATTTAGCTACAGCACAGACAAGAAACACTTTCACATCGGGAAATCAGATCAGACTCAGATTTGACTCTAAAAGTTACTTTGCGAAAATTGATTTGTTATAACTATGCAGCTTGTTATCGGCAATCTTTCGATAATAAGCGTAATAATTCTTGGCGAGTGTACAGTACAACACAGTTGTACGCTAGTTGATAAGTCAATTTGCTGTGCTCTGTGAGTTCCACTTGACTAGCAATTTAATTACACAATTCTCCAAGCACTAGGGTGGTTACACTGTGACACGTAAAGGCTGGTGACAAGGGAATATTCGGAGATTTGAATCAGATTGCAATTCTTTTGAATTAAGTAAAATTTCATCTTCTATTAATCGAGAAGCTTTTTATCAATATACTAGTATATGAAGATAAACACTCACCCTTTGTTTGGATGTACAACTATGCCTCTAGGTCGATCAAGGTCATGTAATAGCAGTGGCTTGACGTACGTGCCACTGTAGTCTGAAACCATAATCCAGTTATATAGCGCGTCGGTCCAATACAGCTTCTTAGAAATCCAGTCCACAGCCAAACCCTCCGCTTGTGAGGAGGTTCCGCTATACACAGCAATGTTCATCAAGTTTCCTGACTGCATAACGGTTTTATATACTGTCTTAGTATGTGCGTCTGTCCAGAAAACTGTCTCCTCTTCGTAATCATAATCCAAACTCCTCATAGACAATGCATTTGATGTTATAAAAACGAATGGAGAAGGTAAGGGTTCATCATATATCTCCTGACCGTCGCCTTCGAGAAACATTATTTGAGATGTTGAAGTAGTCACTGTGTCCACGGACACCCACATCAGACTAGGTCCAATGGGCTGTGAAAGCGCACCTCGGGAAAGCAAGAATTCCAATTTGATGTTGCATTATATTTACTTCTGTAGTTCTGAAGTGAGCAACACTATTATATTTAACATCTCTCGTGTGAAATGTGTCATTGAATCTCATTACCGAAAATAAATATACGTATGAGTATTCGAGCTGGTGAACCATTTCCAAAAAAATGGTGAACCTATAAAGACGATTACCTAAAATCAATGTATAGGTTTAAAAAGATTGTTTGTTGTCATATATTATCTTTTTCTGGTTTGTTCGAAGTTGAAAGGGAAATGTTAGCTTCAATTTTTCAGTAACATTCTTCGTATGTCAAATTATTTTTATCTGCGAAATGTTTATGCCCCCATTTGTTACTAATCTTTCTATATTGTTACCCATCAGACTGGAGGACACGTCCTGGCAATATATATAACTTTGAAAATCACATAAGAGCAATTGAATTACACTTTGTACAATAAATAGGAGTGACCTTAAAAGGTTGGTTGACCTCTAAATAATAGTTTCTGTCGCTCTATGTGGGCCAAAACTCCAATGACAATAACCCGTCTAACGTAACGTATATACCACGCCTTATATAATATGTGCATATGTGAATAAAATATTGCATTCCATAACAAATTGTGGACAAAATGTGTTCTTTTCTAGTAATTAGCATTACGAGTCCTGTATTTCGCACAAAATTCGTGATCAGAAAAGAAACCTTGCCCCTATTTTCAAATGACATGTGCTATAAAGGTTCTTGAACAAATACTACACAATGCGTGAATTACGGCATGTCAACACCAGCATATCGCGTACTAGTACGGCTTGTCGCCAAGCTCAATCAGCAACTTGTATAAACCCATTGTATGCGTTGATGCTTTAATACTACGACACAAGCAAGAATAGGCGCGTGACCCACAAGTAAACCAGCTCTATATGCATCGCCTGCAAGCTTTGAGGAAGTACATATAATAAACACGGTTAATGTTATAATAAGCACTAGAACCAAAATTATTGAAACATAACTCAGGAAACACATAGCTGTAATGTGATTGGCATTTATGTGGGTATTCTGAGCTATAGATGCAGGTAATATATACATGTTTGTTTTTAGCTTTGCTTCTCTTATTGATACATTAGTATTTAAATACTGTTAACATCTCGGAGGTCTACCATAAAAAAGTATTACCTAAACAATGTCAAATTATCGGCCGTTTAGTGGAGGCATCGGATGCTATTTCAAATCAGTGACTGGCAATAAGAGTATAACATTCAGCAATCACGTTCACAGTGTTATTAAGTTTCCCTTTGTGCGGTCTTTCATTACTATATCTCTGTCAGTTCCACGTCTCCCACGCATATGAGGGACGGGCCATTTTTTTTAAACGAAGTTGCTCATTCTAATCGTCAGCAGAAAAATCAAAGTACTAGAACATTAAAAAATAAAAGTATAATGGTAACCATAACCAACTTACGAAAAACATTTCATTTTCCCCATGTAACTACATGATGACACATGAACGGGCATGGACACATACAAAAATAGTCCTTCCCTATTTCCTTGTAATATGATATGATATGAGTGAAAGAACTGAACAAAAGGAAACCTAACTTTCTCAACATAACTGCAACTGTTAACAATAAAAATCGACTCACCACACGAGATGAACAATAATGCAAAACAATTCTGCATTGTGAGTTGTTTTCTCGTAAACTCTTAGCCGCTAAAGTTTATGCTAACATTCCGTGTGTGTGAATGTATCGATGTGGACGTATCGTACCGTTACGGGAATGTTAAACACCTATCGTTATTTGAAGGCGAACAATAAACCTTATGTCGTAACCATTTACAACGGGTACATGGTAGACTGGCCCGGTCGGGCGATTAATTTGTTTTTGTAGTTTAAATAAAATAAAAAAAAAATCGCGAAATGGAGGTGTTAGCGCGAAATCCCTTGTAACTGCAAAATCACCTGGACTGGTTTATTCTGCATGGCCCTCTATCGACACTGCAGAACCCGACGATTTTTCAACGGGTAATTATGTTAATGATGTTCTAATTGACACTCAGCTAAGCCAGCCAGTCTCTTCAACCATGGAACGGGGTTTATAGTTCCATGCTTCAACTGACCTCTGACCGAGAAGACGTCGGCTGATTGTAGCGAATTACTTTTTTACACATTGTGATGAGAATTAGAAAGTTTCTATGCTACATTCTAAGTATATTTACGACGACTACGACAAACTCGAATTTCAACGTGCCGCCATGTTGGGTCTGCAGTGTGACCTTTACCATGTTGACCTCATTATGCACGTATTTCCGCGCCCACCTCATTATAATATGTGCATTCATGAATATTTAATAGCAATGAAATTACTGCAGAATAATCCAGTCGCGCTAACACTAAACTCGAATTTCAACGTGCCGCCATGTTGGGTCTGTAGTGTGACCTTTACCATGTTGACCTCATTATACACGTATTTCCGCGCCCACCTCATTATAATATGTGCATTCACTGAATATTTAATAGCAATGAATTTCCTGCAGAATAAACCAGTCGCGCTAACACCTCCATTTCACGATTTTTTTATTTATTTAAACTACAAAAACAAATTAATAGTCCGACTGTGCCAGTCCAGGTACATGGTACCGCGAGGAATCAAATTATCGTGTTAATGTTTTAAGTTGAACATAATCGCTGTAACAGTATCGGTCGTTGGTGGCGGGGGGTCGTGAATAGATTGTCGAGTTATTGACAATTACAAGGGGCGGTATTCAAAACGTTGATATACGAGTTTAACAATTAGCTGTCACGTGTTAGGTTTCACAAATTTATCAAGTTTCTCTTGACTTAATAAAGTTATATTGCTATCAAAAGTTAGTTGGAATCCCTTTCAAAGCAATTAATTACCGCGTTAGCGAATTAAACTGGTCGTTCTTTATTTCTTTACTACGATAACACTTAGGTTCAGTACCAAGAACAACGCGTCCTGACAATTTTGTTGCTTTAAAATTTATATTTAAATATATTATACTATTTCTGTATCATCATCATTTTATTATAAATGATTTGCCCGAATGTGGGTTATATTGTAACACTCGTACATCAGCCGTTTACTGAATAGTAGAAACACATCTAAGGGACGGACCATTTGGTAATGAGGTATTCACTCTAACCTTCAGCTGAAAAATCCAAACAAGTTAAATAATAAACAAGTAAAATCTAATGGCCGTAAACAAATAATTTAATAATTGTTTCAAATTTTTCGCTTGCAGCTATACGATGACAGATAAATGAACATGTACACATACAAAAATAGACCTTCCCTATTTCCGTGTACTATGACTTAAGTGAAGGAACTGACAAAAAAAACTAAACTTTCTCAACATAACCATATCTGTAAAAAAAAAATCGACTTACCGCATAATATGAAAAACAGTGCAAAACAATTCCGCATTGCAAGTTATTTCTTCGTAAATGTTTAACTGCTACAGATTATGATGTGAACTTCCCGTGTCTGTGTGTGGAGGTATGGAGGTATTATATTGTTATGGGAATGACTTGACCCTTTTGTGGGTGAGCAATAAACCGAAAAAAAGTGATTGTGTCACACCCATTCAAACGGAACATCGTAGCGTGAGAAATCACAACACAATACAGTACAGTACAAAACACGAGTCGCCCAAGTATGGTAGTTTTATTTATATAAAAAGTTATAACTAGGTTTCAAAGTCATAAATTACTTGATTACCCCTTACACTTTCTTGTTATTGTCGCCTGGCACGTTGCCATTGTAAGATATAGTAGTTAGCGGCGTCCGTCCATGCGTCTGCAGGTCCGTGCGGTGTAATACCTTGGGCACTATTGCAGATGAAGCCATCCATTCAATCAGTCCTTTATTGAAGACATTGGGCTCATAATATCATTAATAGATATAATATTAGATAGGTTAATTAGTTGCAACAGCATGTCAAGCCTAATTTGCATATTTAGTCTAAATGAATATTCATATAATAGCGTAACAATTAGTACTAAGAAATTACTATGTAGACGCGTCTGTCTGAAGCTTGAATGCATACCATATGCTATTTAATATTTACATACCCAATACAACCACTTGAAAAAAATCACTCCAGCTGCAGATTTCTAGGACCATCAGCCTTCTCTGATGGCTTTACTTATTTATATATATATATTGACATAACATTTACGATTGTGAAAAATAATTGTTATTGAATGATCCATTGTCGAAATAAACGTTGTGCTTGATTTAAGTATCATCGAGAACAAAATAAAAACTCTGTAAACATTTTGAAATTATGTTTAAAAAAATTAAACCTGTGTTGTGGGAAATCGAGTTATTGTTATACAAACAGGATATACAAACATTGATTCATCGTACATTCTATAAAATATTGAAATATTGTTTAGTTCCATGAAATATAAATAAAATTGTAGAAATAATTATTTATGTACTACTGTTTATTTTGTCACACTTCTGAAAATATAATTTATATGTCCACTACCTACATTCAACTGAGCAAGAAATAATAATCCCGTCTGCTTATTTAGGTGTGATTATCACCAAACAGATATTAAGTGTTTTGCAATGCACACAATTAAACATTGATAAATACAAAACAACATAGGTATTGTACCTAATGCTCTTGAGGTGCCTGGCCGACCGGAATTGTTATTAATGAATGAGATCAATATGTTATTTGATTACTAGTATGCAATGAGCTACGGGACATTCTGAATGCTGAGTATTGATGTCTTGCGTGGAACATTTACATTATCTGTGTAAAAATAAGTTCCAAGAGAAAATGACTTACATTTTGCTCTGTATAATGCAATTGCTACGACAAGGAGAATGTAAACTCAGAGGAGTTGCAAACTTACGCTAGATTTCATAAATAATCATGTCAATACTC